TGTCCCGTGCTCATAAGCATTATTTTTATCGCCTTCTTCTCTCCTTATCTTAATCGTGTTCCCAAAATGAAAGTGCATCAGTTGGCGTAGCGTGGCGACGTTTTGAAGATTTTCCTGCTCCCCAACATCGGCACGTCAGTGCTTGAACTCGACCACGCATTTCTTTACGGATGTGCCAACTAACGTGCCTCATCCAGTTGCGGGACGCAATGTGCGGTCTGTTCGATAATTGCCTTAACCGACATTTAAGATCCCCTTTGCCCCTATGACACAAGAATAAAAATAGAGAATCATCAGAGCCACATTGTTATCTTTCAGTATCGGCAACAGCCGCGCAGTGCCCCTGTTTCGATAGCGCCAGCGCCTTAGCTATGCTCACCGCGCCCTCTTTGTATAAGGGCTGTCAAAGGGGGGAGAGGGAAAGGTATGGTGGCAAACACGATGTACATTAATTTTCCGAAATCGTAAAAAAGTAAAAGGAGTCTGAAAAGGGCGCCATGCGAACCGTGACCCCGTTGCGATCAGTGGCGGTGCCTCGTATATAAATATACTAAAGAGCAAAGGTCAGAACATTGGAGCGGAAGACAGCGCAGTCATGCTGCGAGAAAAGGGAGAACGATAGCAGCTTTAGATGTTTTACTTATAATGAGAAGGACAGATACACACGCGTCTTGGAAAGATTCAAGTTTTTGCGGTCTCGCCCCCTCTTCCTTCCATCTGTCTTTCTCCCATGAGCAAAACCGTCTCTCTCGCACAGCCCAGTCCGCCACCGGGACCGGGATCGGGACAGCGCAACTATAGCTGTTATCGCGGTGGCCTGTTGCCATGGGCCGCGCCTTACGGGCCTGTTGGCCGACCTCAACGTTTGTTTACAAATTCAGTTTGTTGTTTCTCATTGTTTATTTTTGCTTCATTATTTTTCGTATGACAATAAGCAACCCCGATTTGCTAATAAGAGCGGTGGACTGCCAGTTCGGATTGGTGTTGAGATTGTTGTTGAACTGATGAAACAGTTTCGGAAGGCGTCCAAGCGAACAACGCCGCGCGTCGTCTCGCGCGTCGCCGTCGCCCCGCGTCCACCAGGACACTACAGAAAGTGGCACATATTGACACAGGGTGGCCATCTATATACATCGGAGCCTCAGTCGGGGCGACCGAACAGGAGCGCGGGTGGGTTGCCTGTGCGGTACTAGCCGCAAGGCACCATGCATCGGTAGTGCCCGCCCGTAGTCAACCCCACGCGCGTGCGTTCCTGTTCGCAAGAGGATGGAAGGAAACAAGGAAAGCTAGGCGAGGCCCCCGCCACCCTAAGCACCATTCACATGCCACGGAGTCAGTGTCAAGGCCGAGCGCGACATAGGCGAAGAGGAGCAGGGACCAGGAATATCGACCCCACAAACAACAATGTGAAGTCGAAAAGGGGATGACGGGGTGTGGGCGCAGGGTGGCTGGCAAGGGGACCTTGTTAGCGCCGACACCGGCCTTAATCAGGGTTGCGTCACGGAGCTCGCAGCTTCACTTGTTGAAGGGTAGGGATCCCTTTCGCTCACACGAGTACACTGTATTTGGACGAGTTTTTCAGACGCCTGTTCAAATTTTATCTTAAGTGTCGTTTGGGACAAATTTGTGAGCGAAAATGCATGTTTTCGTCCGTATACTTAAATGCAGAAATATATTTCAAATCAACGCAAAACAAAACCTGTTTAACTTTGTTCGAGTAAAACATACAAATCCAGGCAATGAGTAGGCGATCCGCCCATACATCTGCAGGCAGCACGGTAAAAACGACGTCCTGGTTTTTATGACGTTTGGAAAACCATGACGTTTCCCATGCATTTCTTACATAAGACGTCATGGTTTTTCCAAAACGTCTTGAAAACGCCTTTCATGACGTTTCGTGCTAAGAACAAGGTGAAAATCCAGCGAGCAATACCCAACCGCTGAGAAAACTGCACTTGTAGTTACGAACGAGTTGCATGATGGACAAGAACTTTGTATCTCTCCTCTAACGTCGGCAGCATGGACAGACCCGGTCAACTGTAGTTTACTGGAAACCGTTTGCAGCGACAATGATTCACGGAGCAGCACTTGCACGTGCTCGTCCGCCTCACGGCCTGTCTGATCTCTGAACAACTCCTAACAGCTGTGGACAGCTGTGGACAGCGATGAAGTCTGGCCTCAAAGTCTCCTTATACACGTTTCAGGAACCACATACAACCGTAACAAACACGCATTAATTTCGTTTGGAAAAAGAAAACAACCTAATTTTACTCTTAACTCACAGAATTAACGAAAATTTCCCCATTCATCATAATGATTACAGAACTAGTTCACAATTGGTGCATACAATTTCCATAGCGAAATGAAAACATTCCTGTCCACACATACACACACGCGCACAACCTTCGTATTGTGGCGCTGACACATGATGGCAGCTGGCCTGGCCATACCTATCGACGGCGAGACCATCCGATCGGACGTCACACCAGCCCCTTTGGACTCCATGTCGTCGGAGATGTCCGCAACAGGTGCACGCACGCGCGTGCGCGCACACACACACACGCACTTGGGAGAACTCGGCACACGGCACACGCGGCCGGCACACGGCTGCGGCAAGGCGAGCACACTGATCACCGATCACCACTGAGCCCGTCGTGGGCGCGGAGGCGACGCGTGGCTGGCCTGTGCAAACCGCTGCGACACGCGCAGACACCCGACAGGTGCACACACGTGGCGCCGGCCGGGCCTACACGTGTGTGCACCTAAAAGTGGTGCACATTGCGAAACCCACCAACGACACCAACAGTCATGACGATGCTTATCGCCTTTACTATGTAGGTAAACTTATCAGTGTTGTTATTTCCTTCGATGAATCCTATCATACTGCACGTTGTCAATGCCAAATATAAAACGCCATAATAATCGTCATCGTAAATGTAAGTTGCTAATTTAAACCAGGATTTTAATTTCAACAATTTTCTGGAAACGCAAGTGTGTGAATGTCGCTCACTAGAGGGGTAAAGGCGAAGGTAAAGGTGTGAGTTTTCTAGGAAAAATTCACACGTTTACCCCCATAAGTGTACGAATGGATATTCACACACCTGCGAGCGACATTCACACACTTGCGTTTCCAGTGTAAACCTGATATTTGGTGAGGATACCCTGCCACGCCGAGTGTAGAACTGTCTCAGATTTGAGACAACCCTCCTATCTTTTCCTATGGTAAAGGGAAAGGGTAGGCAATAATCTCCCAAGTGTTAGTATATAGTCTTGGTTGGTTGTACTGTCTTCATACTTTGAGTGGCAGGGTAAATATTCAAATTGATTATTTTCCGATAAAACACCTAACCGCACCGAACCCAATTATATTTTCTCGAATGATTAGATTCTTGGCACACAATTCTTCGTGATTTTGTAAGCAAGTCTTCGGGTCTTTGAATCTAGTTATCGTTATACCGCCTGCTTCTTTTCAACCCTCACACACTCTTGAACTGACTGAGATGGCTAAACGTACCGTTCACGCGCGGTCGCCGAAGTATGATACACGTCATAAGTCATGACACTTTTCAATAAATTTTACTTCTACTGGGGACAGTTTTGGAATATAGTTTCGGCATTTTCTTAGTCCGCTTCAAATACCGATGGTCAGATGACGCCTAATCACTTCCCGTATGGTCGCTGCAATAATCGTTGACCCAACAGGCAAGCAGTGGTGGGCAGTGGAGTGGGGCAAGGCAGGGCGGGGCGGTCTGTGTATGCAGCGCGAAGACCGCCCAAGGCAGACAACACCACCGATAGATGAATAGATTATCGCTGCTGGAGGACGCTGGTGGAACATCCGTCTTATGAAAGCGCCTCCGGCACCGGGGCATCCTCTGAAATAGCGCCTGATTTGTGCAAAGCCGTCACCTCGCAGTCGCCGTTAAAAACATTCTGTTGTCTTTATGTGCATACCAACATCGCTGTCGAGCTACAATGTCATGGACGGCGGGAACTGTTCTGGACACTGTCAGTCGGAGAGTATGGGAACTACCAATATCAAGCGCACAGCTCGTGTTTTTGTTGGGTTTTTTTGCTTTGAACAGCAGGAAGTAGCAATAATGTCAAGTGATACTATACTACTGCAGGGCTTTTTTCAAACGCTTAACCAAATATTTGCCCATAAATATGCCGCATTAATCGAGCACAAACAACTGTACATTGATCCCCACACATTTCAGACCTGAAACTCGTTTCTCGTGCTTAAATCGGTCAGAAAAATGTGGAAATGCATATGCAGGTGTATCATGATCTTTTATGTCTTCAAAACACGTGGTGTTTGACTGACCAGAGGTATGTATATTGTTGTCTTTTATTTATAGCCGGCCGCCTTTTATCTCAGCCCCTCCCTCTATCTCTCTATGCTCTCGGATCCTCGTCCCACTCCCTTCCGCGCATTATCCCAAACAGTCATCACATTATAACAGATTATTGGCTGGCGGAATTTTTCCGAGGTCCCTCCTATACGGATTGTGGCACGATAGCACGATATTACATCAGGGCGGCGCTTATCACATGACCGCCCTCACCCCCCCCCCCCCCCCCCCCCAAACCTCCTCCTCTTTCCCTTCTCCACATGTATCCCCGCGGCCCTCCCCGCCGGCCCCTGCAAAGTTTCCTGCAAGATGTAAATGAACGGGCGAGCGAAACATGAAATTGGTGCAGAAAAACAGCACCAAAGGCAGCGCAGACATTAGCCGTAAGAGAGTCCTAGATTTACTGAGAATTGCGATTCGATGTATACCACAAATGGGTCAGAACTAGAAACGGTCTTTGTTACTCCAAGAAATTAACATCGTAACAGCCCTTACCTCTGTCTGGAATGGTCGTTTTGATGTCAGTTCGGCAGGGTGACAAGCCGGATGCAACTAAAGATGTATTTCAAAAAAATTCCACTCTACCCCTTTCTCACTCAATTTTCTTCGAAATAGGTGGCCTCACGCGTACCCAAAACAAGTCCCTCTCAACAAAGTCAGGCAGCTGATAGTTTTGTCAATGACAGAGGCATCTTCACAAACGACACCTCCAGGAACGTCGTAAAGAGATAGGACAAATATGGGAAACGAAACTAATGCAGCTGGTTGTGGTCTTCCTTGGCACCGTCACGTAAGTCTTCCGGGACGCACTTTGCGCGTGTACGCCACAGCGACCCCGAGCACTAGAGCGAGAGAAGACCTCCTCGACGCGGACCTCCTCGACGGGGCGACGCGCGGCCGGCACGTTTGACGCGTTTGACGCGGAGCGGCGGGGCGGCGAGGCGCAACAAGTGTGACCTATCACTCGCGCGCCTCCGATCGGAATAAAATTGAATCCAGAAGAGAGGAGCTCGCGCGCCACACTGCTCGTGGATCCGAGACAGCCGGGCCGAGCGGCCGGCGGCCGGCCGCGGGGGTGGGGTGGCAGGGCAGGACCGGGCGCGACGCGGCCGCGACCAGAGCGCGCGGCTCTGGCCTGCGCGGCCGCTCTTTGACCGCTCGCGCTGGCCGGACCGACCCGCTCCGTCTCCCGAGACGACATGCGCCACGAGCCCGACCGTCCACCCGTCGCTGCGTCCTGTCCGACAAAAATATCGCTTCATGATGTCTGTTTACAGCACCACACGATAATCGTTGTCATACCTTTTAGAAAGGGACATCGAATAATTATTTCGCACGATTACTGGTCGGCCTTACAAAAGGGGAGAACGGGGTAGAACTAGAACAGTACTCTACTCAAATGAAAAATTCATGAGCGTGTTTACGTCTGGTGACCCAGTGTTTTCGTCGGTTTTCGCGCGTCTTTCATTTAGATGTGGCGCTGGCATTGAGTTAACGTTAGCTGAGACCTTCTCTATTGTCAAATACCGCAATTGCAATACAATATTTAAAGTAACAGTCAAAAATAAATTTTACGCTCTTCTTTACGGTGTATGGTACGAAAGTAGTCCGTTCTAAACTGTTAAAATTCATTGTAAACCGAGCGCACAGAATTTAACACCATACCACCGTTATTCCAATTAACAGTTTAAAACGGTTGTTCAATCTGTAGATAAATTTTTACAGTGGATGCTTTTTTCAAATATTTTTTTAATGTTTTGTCTGCTGATGCAGCCCGAACATGACTAACTAATTAGGTATACTGTCTAGTTTTGGAGGTATACACTTTTTAAAAACTGAAAACACGGGCAAAAAGTCAACAGCCAGCAGGCTAAGGGCACAACTGTAAAACATGAAAAGGTGATGAAGAAAAAAATAAAAAGAGGGCGAGAAACAAGGAGGGAGAGCGGAATTAAAACGCCACTCACCATCATCCGAAGGTAAGTCACTTTCAAAGACAACAGCTGAGAGTCGTTTTTGGCGCGAAAGTGACGTCACACAATCGGCGCAGGAGGGAGGCCACACCAGCTCACGTCACATCCGGGTGTTCCCGCGCCTCCCGTTCAGCAACGGGTAACAGTGTGACGGCGCGGCGCAGAGCCCGCAGAGCGCAGGTGTGAGCGAGAGTGCTCCGCGGCGGGGACCGAAAGCCCCTGTGAGGCGGGCGATAGGCAGCCCGGTCGGCAGCCGTGCGCCGGGGGCAGCCCGCCCGCCTCTGACAACCCTCTCCCCTCGCCCACCCCGGCCCATCCGATCGCCGTCTCCCTTCGGAGGGAGAGAGGGGGAGAGACTGGACAGACAGAGCCTGTGGGAAATTATGCAGGGCATTATATATTTCATTGCCCTTTCTCCAATAAGTAAATTAAAGGTAACATGTGTGGGTGTTTAATCCGAGATGTACGCCTACTCTTCCTTACGGCCTCGTCCTCGGGCAAAATCAGAAGCGCACGGCGATAACGCAACACAACAGAGAGAACGCTGCTGCCAGCGACCTGGGCACTGGGCAGCACCCCCCCCCCCACACACACACACACACTTGTTTTGGCCAAGGCCGGCAACCGAAACGAACCATTTTTCTGCGACTGTTGGTCGCACAGAATATCTCGCCATGACAGCACGACACCCCCCCCCCCAGTCTCACCCTTACTCGTCCCCTCACTTATCGGACATCAGCGCCCCAATATTGACCGGCGGCGCCTACTTCTGTCCTCTGCAGTATCACCAGCTAATAGGCCCCGTGGGAAATCTGCGCAGTGATCAGCGAATCATCGGCCACCAATCCCGCAACCCTAGGACAAGTCGCGCGCCCGCCACGTCGATAGCTACGTCGCACCCGTGCAATATAAGACTGCATAAACATCATAGGAACTGGTTCAAGGAGCCGCAGTGCGAGCGACGGCGGCGGGGTCCGGGGTCGGGGACCGTGTCAAATGGGCTGCCTACACTCCGGGCGCCGAGCGGGACGGCGTCAACGAGCCCCGACCTGCCGCAACCGCGCGCAGAGGTCCACCACTGCTGGTTATTGCCCCCCCCCCCCCCCGGTCCGTCTCCATCCACGCCACCGCATCTCTCTCTCTCATAGGCTAATGCGCAGACGCCCGACGAATGGGCGAATTTCGTCGTAAGTTACGGTGAAATTCACTGTAATTATACTTGAACTTCAGATTTACGGCGGTTTTCATTGTAGGGTACGGTGATCTGTATCAGTCACCTTGGCTTTCAGTGATATTTACCTTAGTGAAAGTGCACCGTAACTCACAGTGATGCAGGTTTCACCATAACGTTACGCAGAAATTCACTGTTAATTTTTAGCACCGTGGCAGTTGTTGGTGTAGCAGCGTTAACAGAATTCTTACGCTTCCCCCATACGGCAGCGATCTCCCCTTTTCCGTCTCCAAACGATAGGAAAGGTTGCTGGCAGAATACCCAAATATGTTGGCCGGAAGGGCTGCCCCTTCCACCATCACTCTTGTGTCCTTGTACATCAAGGCAACACTGTTGGTGCGGGAGTTTCTGCCTGCTGGTTCGTTTGTGCGCGCGCGCACACGCACGCACACACACACACACACACACACACCACACACTGCGACAGTCGATGCGGCAAGATTACCATAACCAATGACCAAGAAAGTAACGTGGTGCGTAGCGCAATGTTCTGCCGAGCTGCACGCTGTGCTCTCCTCATTCTCCCTCACTTTGTTATATTAGGCAGCAAGCAGGTAATTAGTTGTCCCACATTCCTCCCGGCTAATCTAACAAGTACTGTAGAGCCTCATAATTGCACGCGACAATTTTTAGGCGCCGAAAAAAAAGGTGGGGGTCTCACAAGCACTCGGACGACCTTCGCGTTGTCGCAGTAGGCGGGCAATCGGCCTTCCACACATCTTTCCCCTTCCCCTCTTCAGGGTCTTTATACTGTCCCTGCCAACTGATTCAACAAAATTATCGCACACGAAAACACTGTTGACATAGTTTCGATTTTGCAGTTTTTTTCGTCGCCTACTTCTAATAAAGCTGAACATTTCAAAAGAATCTCGTGGGATTAGAAATTTGGAAGCGGGACAGGGTTGTGGACAGCTCGGTGGCCTGGACAGTGAGTAGTTGCCGAACGTGACTGCTTGTTCATAGGCTGCTTGTTTTCCCAGAGAGCTGACAATGGCATACGCTGGCAAGAATTATTTCCTATACAGTTCACAGCCCGTTTCCGGTACAGCCCCTTCCCCTTAGCAGCCCCATAGAGCCGCCCCACGCCATCCCTTCCCACACACGCCCCCAGCCTCTGCTCCTCAAGCTCCTCCCCCTCCTCCCCTCTCCCATTTCCTCTGATTCGTAAAACTATACCCTCCCTTGCGACTTCGGAGAAAAGTCGAGTCGGCGGGTCTCGTCTTATATTCAGAAGTGAGTGAGGAGCCTGCAGCCCTCCTCTTCAAAGCATCCACCCCAACAACACGACAGACTCAAAACTTTACGAGAACGTTTTTCTGGCAGTGCACAAGGCAAAGCAGCAGGTGCCCCCCCCCCCC